AGCATGGCTCACATTTGCTGCAACATCAGGGGTATCTGCACTGGAATGTCCCACTCTCACTTGTTGAAGAAGCTGCAGCAGCTCAGCCACATCTTCCTTGGTGAGATTCTGAACTCCTGATGCACTTCCCTGTTCATTTTCTTCATTTGAGAAAGAAGCTTTGTTTGCCTGGGCAACTCCTTGAAATCTTTTCTCCCTTGTGAACTTGAAATCAGCTGGAAACCCATGAATTCTATAACATTTCTGGATGCTATGTCCAGGTTTTTTGCAATAGGAACAAATTCCTACATATTTCTTAGATTCAAAACTTGTTTTATGCATCCTGTTCTTATTAAATCTTCTGAAATTTCCTTGTTGGTTGGTAGCAATGAATGAGGCAGATTCTCCTGAGTATGCAGGGGTAGCATGTATCTCCCTTTGCTTTTCATCTTGAATCACAAGAGAGTATGCCTGTCTAATGGAGGGTAAAGGTGATGACAATAGAATGTTACTCCTTACCCCAATAAATATATCATTTAGTCCCATTAGGAAATGCAATAGTCTCTCATCTTGGTGTGCTTTCAAGCTTTTGACTTTTGCACCACACTCACACTCACATACACAAGCAGAAAATGTATTGAGTGCATCTAGTTCATCCCATAGGCTTTTGATTTTGGTGAAGTAAGTTGATACACTTGAATTACCTTGTACTACTGAACTTAATTCCTTTTGTAATTGGAACAACTTTGCTCCATTTGCCTGTCCAAATCTGTCTTCCAGGTCACTCCACAAATCCTTTGCACTTTGTGAATAGAGCACACTTTCAGCTATCTCTTTGGACAAGGAGTTGAGAAGCCATGAGAGTACCATATCATTACATCTACCCCAAGTCTGCTGGACTGCAGAATCAGTCTTAGGGATAATAAGAGTACCATCGATGAATCCCAGCTTGTTCTTTGCAGACAAGGTAATGATGACTGCCCTTCTCCAACCTCCATATCCTTTGCCATCAAAAGCTGAGGATACAAGGTTCATCCCTGGATAGTCAGAAGGATGAAGGTAATAAGGGTGAGTGGAGTCAATTACTCCTGAAGCAAAGGTCACTGCAGGTGCAGGAGCATTAGTGGTAACAGCAGAAGCAGAAGCTAGAGTATCAGCTGACTCTGGTGAAGTACCCATATCAGATAAAATGAAGATGAAAGAAGAAGAAAAGAAAGGAGCTGATTTGTGACTGAGAAAGCAGAAAAATACCAGAATTAAACATGCTCTGATACCATGAAAAAATTAATGAACTGTAATTTTTTTCTGCTTGTATATTTGATGAATGGGAAGAAAAATTGTATCTTCTCAAGTGTACAAATCCAAACTTATATACAGAAATGTTTTTGGGTAACCTCCTAGGAAAAGTTGTACATAAAAGAAATACAAAGATGGAGCAAATAATTAAATATAAAAGGTATGGGAGAACTACCTAAAATAGAGTGTAGCATGTGCTGTACACTAATTTTCCGAACAGGGCAATGCCACAAGTGGGCCGATTGACCAGGCCTAATTGTGATCACAATTAGGCCCAAAATATCAAACCCAATCAGGCCCAATCCCAGCATACCAAACACAAACACACCCAATCTATTTCCCTGTTCAAACCCGTCCAAATACCAAACATACCCAAATCAAAAAACCCTTCTGCTTCAAACCCTTCCAACAGACCCTTCGATTCCAACATGTACCTGATAACACCAATGTGTCTAACCAAAATCTGAACATTTAACCCTCTCATCCCATGACTATCCGGTCAAATAATAACATTCATATACCCATTCAGAAATTGTGTCTTAGTACTACTATTCATGATTATGCTAAACCCAACACATCCCTAGTCTCACCAATAACCACATCATCCCACTTACCTCCAGTGATTAAAACCTCTACCAAGCCAAATAGTTCTTCGTCACCTAAGCCTATAGAGCCTCGTACTGTTCATCAAGCTTTAAAAGATCCAAAATGGCGTGAGGCTATGAATAAAGAGATTTCAGCATTACAAAGTCAAGAAACTTGGTCTCTTGTGCAATCTGTCCCTCATGCTAAATCAGTGGGTCCTAAAAGGGTATTTCGTATTAAGTATAATTGAGATGGGAGCGTTGGACACTATAAAGCTCGGTTGGTTGCTAAAGGTTATCTTCAACGACCTGATGTGTATTACTTTGAGACCTATTCTCCTATTGCTAAACATACAACAATGAGAGTAGTTCTTTCTCTTGTGATTTCTAATGATTGGCCGCTTAGGCAATTAGATGTCAATAATGCATTTTTACATGGGCACTTATCTGAGGAAGTTTACATGTCTTGGCCACCTGGATTTGTCAATGAGAAATTTCCCAATCATATTTGTCGATTACACAAGGCTATTTATGGCTTGAAGCAGGCTCCACGTGCATAGTATAATGAATTGAGAGCTTATCCTTTATCTCTTGGTTTTCATCACTCTCAGTGTAATCATTGTCTCTTTATCTTTGCAAAACTTGGAGTTACTATCTATCTTGTTTTTTATGTTGATCTCATAATTACCGGAAATCACTCAAGCTATGTTGAAGACTTTATCAAAAAGCTTGGTACTCAGTTCTCCATAAAAGATCTGGGTGATCTAAATTTATTTTTGGGTGTTGAAGTCATTCGTTCGTTCGATGGTCTCTTCCTTAACCAGCAGAAATATATCTGTGAGATATTTGAAAGAACCAACATGATATATGCAAAGCCAATGAGGACACCTACAACTAGTGGTTCATGTTCGGGTTCTAAAGATGGTTCTCCTCTTGAAGATCGCACAGTATACAGGAATGTAATTGGAAGCTTGCAGTATTTGCATCTTACTCGCCCAGATGTTTCTTTCATAGTAAACAAGTTATCTCAATTTAAAAGCTGTCCTACGACAACTCATTGGGCCATGGCAAAACGTGTTTTGCGCTATCTAGTTGGGACATCGGACCGTGGTTTGTTTCTTCAGAAAAATTCTCCGCTCCTGCTTCATGCCTTTTCCGACTCTGATTGGGCTGGTGATCAGGATGATCGCTCATCCACTACAGCTTATATTGTGTTTCTTGGTTGTCATCCAGTTTCATGGAGTTCTAAGAAACAACGAGCAGTGGCTCGCTCTTCAATGGAGGCAGAATACAAGGCAATTGCCTCTACTACTGCTGAACTTTGTTGGGTGTGTAATATTCTCAAGGAGTAATCTATCACTCCTTATCAGACACCTGTCATCTACTACGATAATCTTAGTACTACATATGTTTGTGCAAATCCTGTGCTCCACTATCGCATGAAGCAAATTGAACTTGATTATCATTTTGTCCGTAAATTTGTCCAGCAAAGTCTTCTTCGGGTTTCTCATGTTTCGTCGAAGGAGCAACTAGCTGACATACTCACGAAAGCTTTTCCAAGCGGTTCTTTTGAGCTGTTACGTTCCAAGATTGGTATCTCTGATTGACCTACCATCTTGCGGGGGCATATTGGAAAGATATCTTACATGCATTGCAGATTATTCTCTTTCCTTATTTGCAGATTTAGTGTTTGTATTTTTAGCTCATTGTTGATTGTACAAATTGTTATTTAGTTTGATTGATTCTTATGGATCCTTTCTTAATTCTTATGGATCCACTCTATTGTATAAATACCTTGTTAATTATTAATAAAGATAAAGTCTTCTCTCTTCTGAAAACTACTTTAATATTGTGTTAACTATTATGATGACATACTCAAAGGAAACTAGCTGATACATATACATGTTCTTCTTTGTACCCAAGTCATAAAAGGTAGTTTGGTGCACTAAGTTCCCGCTATATGGGGGTTCGAGAATCGGACCACCATGTTCTATTGTACGCAGGCTTTTTTTGTATTTCTGCAAGAGACTGTTTTTATGGTTCGAACTCGTGACCTATTGGTCACATAACGGCAACTTTGCCAATTCCGCCAAGGCTCACCTTCTTTGTACCTTGCCATAAAAAAAGATCGACTCACAATTTACTCTTGCCCTCAATTTTATCAGCACCCATTCTTGAAATTTTGATAGGAATATTGGCCGAAGATTCGATCTAGGAATAGTAGTTTTGATATTGAAGAATTTGGTAACGGGTGAAATCAGGTTTTCAAATTAGTCTATACTTTTCCCTTTATTTAACTGTTGTTCACCTTCTTTTCTTCTTTAGGAACGATAGGGGATTCAAGCCCATGTCTCGGCCCAAGACCTTCTGTTGTTGAAGCCCAAAACTCTTTTATCATTACAGTTCATGAAAAATGACACTGTATAACTGCTCTCAAAATAATAGCCGAAAAAGTGTATATTTTTAATATATTTTTGGTATATATAAACATTTTGTATGTTATATACAAAAATTATACAAAATTTTTACATTTTTTCGGTACCAAATATAAATAATTTATATCAAGGCTAAAAGTGATAATACTCCTACAATTTACCTACCCAGTTGACCTGTTAGGGCCCATTAAAATCTCGTCTCTCTAGTCTCTACTCGAAAATGGAGGTCAAAAAATTTATCAAATTCCTTAAGCGAGTGATGATACTCTAAATAAATTACTTTCTAGGCAATACTGTGAACTCGTGAGGAATGATTTTGAGTTTTCAAAAAAGACAAACCTGAACACACTACAATGTGCATAAATCATGTATACGGTTAAAACCGGGCCTACCCGATTTTACTATTTGATCGAGACAAGGGAGTTGCATCGAGGGTCAGCCTCGTGGTGGATCAGACTGAAACACGAGGACAAGGTACCGAGTTCAAAAATCAAGGTGCTTGTTGAGTATCGAGGCCGGCAACGATCGAGACCAAACAGGGCAGACTTCGAGCAAAGCACAATAACAGGAAAGTGAGATATCCACGACTGGTCGAAGATCATGGCGGGGTTTCTCGGAACGGATCAAATCAAAGGCAGTTGTTTAGCCTAATCATAGGATTTACTTCCGTAATAAAAATTGTACCATAGATAGGATTCTTCTACTGTATAAAGAGGGTCCTAATCATTTTGTAAGAACCTTATATTCACACATATCAAAGCAATACAATATTCTCTCTTTAATTTACGCTCTCTTGTTTATCAGCTTGTCATATTTTTTACTATTCTTGCATCAACCACTTCGAGGGCATTAGAGCTCGAGGGCTGCATTACATTGTAATACTGATTTGCTTCATCTTATTGTCTATCTCCATTACTAATATTTACATTTATCAATTGGTATTAGGTGAAACTACGTGTCCTTAAAACCACATTATAAGTTTAATTGTTATCCAGTTTTTAGGGCAAACAGTTTGGCGCCCACCGTGGGGCTAAGGATAATAATGATTGTCTGGTATTAATTCTCATAACACACACTACTTTACGCTTGTGCTCGTAATTAGTTTGATTTCAGAATCAATATGTCTAACTTGCAAGTAGTACCCACTCATGCGGATGACGGCCTCAGTTTCCAAAGAGAAAACGATAATGTAGTCGCCCCAGGGATTGAAGTGCCTCAAGCTGGCCACGAGGGAGTACCGATCGTAGACCCCTTCGATGTCAATTCGCACATCGCCCTAAATACAAATCTAGGCATCGACCCTGGAAATACTGTCCACAGAGATGCCCGAGCAGCCGATCAGAATGTATAGAGCGGTGGAGAAAGCTGAATTAGCCTTCGAATGATATTCGAAATATTGCAGACTCAACAAGATACGATAGCGCAACTCCAAAATTAGAATCAAGCACCAAGCAGAATTGAGCTCGAAACATCACAAGAAGTTGTTCATAGAATCGAACCTGTACCGGAGAAATTGAACTCCAATGAATCGAGGACCGACCCCGCCATTATGAATATTCTCGACATGCTCACTAAGCGGATCGAATCAGGTGGAAAACAAATCAAGGCTAATTACAAAATGGTAGAAACGTACAACTCACAGGTTTACCAAATACAGAGGGCACCCCCGATTCTAAAGGGTTTAGATTCGAAGAAGTTCGTGCAGAAGCCTTTCCTTCCAAGTGCGGCTTCGAAGCCCATTCCTAAGAAATTCATTATGCCATAAATCCCCAAATATAATGGGACCACCGATCCTAATGAGCATGTCACTTCTTACACATTCGCAATAAAGGGGAATGACTTAGAAGATGATGAGATTGAATCC